ATGTGTCAATATTCACATGTAATTAGTATGTATCGTATATTATGTATCAATATTCGCTATCGGGATAATTTCGTGGAACAATAAAGGTGAATGAGGTCGATGTTAAACTGCAGAGTAAAATCACCATTTCACAGTGGTGTTACCTGAAACGGACATAATTTTCTTTTGCCAAATCTAAATCATTCAAGGATGACAATGCCTATAGCCAGTAGTGTGTTTACAGATATCTCTGGCCTTGTGCAGTGTATTTTTTTACAATTTCTTATGATATCATAACATACTTCAGTTTATTATAGATATTTTATGTTTTCAGTCAGAGACTTCAGTACTGTCGTCTGGAGTGGACTCCACGGTTGTCCAGTTTGAATACACCTCCACACAGATGGAGAGTGACTGGAAGGTTTGGGTCAAGTCGCTGACTCACTTTAGACATACCCACGATGTGCGTGGCCTCGCCCTCGCCAATGATCACATTGTATCAGGGGGTCAGTATCATCAATTTTTTTGCCTTATCTTCTTGATTACTAATAACTGGGAAAGGTTCGTCCAGTCAAACTTTCACCCTTCGCTCATTAAATCAATTTACGCCCAATGTAAATCTTGCCCTTTACATTTCATTGCTATGCATATTATGCTGTTTAGCTTTATTCACTGTAATGATAAATTTGCCCTCATTGCGGAGGGCAAAAAATTAAACTGCAGGGAAATTTCCTGTTAAACAGTATTTCAGATCAATAATTCCCTTTTCCTTTCTTCCTTTCTTGCTCTTCCTTTGTTTTCCTTCCTCTTCTCTGTCTTCATTGTACTTTCTTTCCCTTGTGTTCGTCTTTCTCCTGCTTACAAAGTGATAAACCAAGTAAAATTGAATGTGTGTTTTAGGTGTGGATACTAACCTTATTGTGTACAGACTACAGTCTTTAAAGAAGAAAATATGGCGTAAGCTGGCCCCGGTCCCACACGTAAGTAGACTGGACAAGTTTTGAAATATTGAATTGACACCTGTTGGCATTGTTGAGCTTATTTCTGTTAAGGGTGTCAAAGGGACATGTATATTCACCCTCTAGTTTTATGCATATATGGCAGATTTTAATTGTTTATAGGATTTCGGTTGCCTTCTAGCTTTATGTTCGAGGAAATTTCCCTTTAGCTTGATCGGTAGACTAGCGTACTGGGAAGGTGGGTATGGCGAGTTCAGTCCCTGGTGGAAGCACACTTCTCTCTTTCCAGTTACAAATGGTGTCCATGTGGTGACAGGGAGTTAGAACCTGGGCGTTGTGGGGTTTGAGGGGGAACACATTTAAAAAGGGGGGAGTAATGTGACTGATTTTAATTGCTCATAGCATTGTGGTTGCTTTCTATCTACAAGTAAGAGGGAATTTCCCTTTAGGTCAATCAGTTAAGCGGTGGATGGGGAAGAAAGGAGTTGGGAGTTCTGTCCCTAGTGGAAGCACACTACTCTCTTTCTTTTTACACATGTATAAGATAATTTCAAGATATATGAGTTTTATTTCTTCCAAAATCTATAACATAATCTTTGTAGAATTCCTGTATGGTTTTATACATTTTGAAAAAAAATCATCTTTCAAGTAAGAACATCGGACAAAAATAGTTATTGAAAATTACGTGGATCCTTTTGTGTATGATAATATAATACAATGCATGTTCTTTACTTTATATGAAAAAAGTTATGCTTGGTCATAATACCGGTAGTTGCCCTTCGTCAGTAGAATCCATATTTACCTGTTGTTAATTTCACCCAACACAGACGAAATACTTGTTATCTTCAGTAAACATTTTTCAGTAGTATTGTATACCTCTGGGTATTTCTACGACAGCTGCATCTGAAAACGTAACTATGATTTGTGGTACTGTTTTACAGCGGTCGATGGTACAAGTGGCCAGAGATGCGGAGTTGGTTGTTCTCAAGTACACCGACTACCTGGAGGTGTGGCGACTAGGATACACCAACAAAACATCGGGTATGTACGCAAGCTACCTGATGTATGGGTACACTAGGGCTGGGATACTGCAGTCCTCAGGAAATTGGCTTGCTGATGAGCTCCGAAGCAATCCCATTTTTTTGCCCCCACCCCATGTTATGGGGGCATATGTTGTTTTTCATGTCTGTCCTGTCCCATTTCGTTGCAATTTACTGTCATGACTCTTCCAACTTCATTTGTTACCTGATTGCTATCAAAGTTGATACAATATCTCAGATGAGTTTGATGACAATAGCTTATTGTTTTGTGCAACTCTCAGGTTTTCAGTGTTTAACGGAAGTACACATGGATGCGACATGCGTTTCTAAAACCTGGTCAAATCCAGAGAGAACAAGTATCATGGAGACAATGTATTAATCTATATAAGTACACCTGTGTTAACACACACACTAGGTATTTTTAAATGAAACATCTATAAAGTTGCATCTGTTTCAACAAATCCATCAGACTAAGGTTACTTAAGGATCCCTGGCCCACTGCTTTGCCGTTTTCCCTCAGTTACCTCCCCTTAACTTCCATTTGGACATAACTGTAGCGCATTAGACTCTTACACTACTGTTGTCCAGGTTGCTCAATTGGTTTCTGCTATAGTATAACAATCTGAAGTCCAGTGTCAATTCCAGGTCTGGCCTACCACCAAGAACATGGTTGTTTATTTTATTTTGTTTATGTCATCTCTATTATAATTTCATAAAAGTCCTGCAAGACTTGATCAAAGCTATAGTCATGCCGGAAAGTCCTGCAAGACTTGATCAAAGCTATAGTCATGCCAGAAAATAAATTCTAAATGCATTGATTCATTTTTAACTCACCTGTCCGTCCGTCAACTTTTTCTGGAGCATCCTTGGGCCAAGATGACTCAATTTTGTATAAACGGTGGGTATGCCCCCCCCCCCCTCTTTTTGAAATTGCATATGTACATACAGTACCTACCATAAAGTGCTATATCTTGACCTTATATCAAGTACTTTAAACATATCCGGTGAGCGATACAGGCCATCTGGGCCTCTTTTTGGTATGGGTATTCATAATCTTCCAATTTGTTTTTTCAGAAACCGACGGTGAGATCTTACCGTTACAGTCCAACCCATTAAATTTAGTTCAGTTAAAGAACAAATCGAGCGAGCCAATCATCTGCTTCGCAATCAGCTCCCACGGTAACGTGGTTGCCTTCTCCGATCAGGATTCAATACGGGCTTACAAACTAGTCATTGTAAGTATACATATATACAAAACATAGTCCCTGTTTTTTGAAAATAATGATCGAAATTCTTCATTAGAACAGCCCCCTTCCGCAATGAAGTTAGGGGATGGGAGCAGATATATTAAAATAAGGATGTCTGTCTGTAAACACTGGTTTGTCGGGACCGATTCTCATAAATACAGTTGTTACAATATACTTTACAAATGATTCAATATACATCACAATATTGATGCCACCATTTTGATTGTTTTTAATTCATTAATAAATAAAATGATAATTGTAAATATAGCAGAACTGGACTGGGTCGATCATTGGCTACAAAGTAGCTCAATTGATAGAGCACTCGTCCTGTTACAGTGGTGCCTGTGACCAACCCTTGTGGCGAGCATTTGGTGTATGCTTGGCAAGGGGATACCAGAACCTGGGTTGTAGATATGTGTGTCCTCGTGGGTAAATGTTATTAACCCGAGTGACATGAACATTCATATAAACTGCAAAAACATGTAAAACTAATCTGAACACCTGTGACTTTTAGCTTTAGCTTATCATTGACACAATTAGAAAATTACTAAAATGCCATGGCATAAGCACTATATTGTTCAGAGTTTATTTATAAATCTAACATTTCTAAAACATAAAATCTGTTTTGATTCATAAACAAATTTCTTTGGTTCCAGAAAAACAAGGAGCTTATCAACCCTAGTGTTTCAATAAAGAAACTGAAGCTGTATATGACGGAGGATTCCACAGCACCGCTACCCGCCCATCACATGTTAGCGACGACCAACGGTGATACTATCGTCACAGCTACAGTGTGTGGAAGTATACAAGTACTCCGTGTAGAGGACAGCTATGTCAAGGTGGACCATGCTTTCTCCGGCTCAAAAGGTAGGAAATAGTTCAAAATCAGCTGAGTCAGAATCATCAGTAATGGTGACTGCTGTGACGATGAACCAGCAACTCAAATTCTCAGTTTGTTTCGCAAACATTATCCTCAATTTTGGCTTTAATGTTGAATGTTTGCCCAGGTGAGGAAGGAAATGGATTCTGTCCCCAGGCCAGGACATGCCAAAGCCCTTAAAAATCATAGTTGTTATTCCCTGCTTAACATTCAGCATTAAGGTAATGGCAACAACTGGTTCACATGTTGTCAGTATAACTTGACCGGGCGGAATGCTGTGCTGGGTGCCTTCGGTATGGTATTT